CAAGCCATTTGTGAGCCAGCGACTCGTGCTGGGGATGCTCAAGCCGTCGCAGGCCCTGCTCGAGTCGCTCAAGGAGCTGGCCGAAGCAGGCCACGTCCGTCCCCGCGTCACCGCCCAATTCGACTTGGGCCACGCCGCCGACGCGTTTCGCCTGTTTGAACAAGGCCACGTCCAAGGCAAAATTGTAGTCGTCGTTGGGCCCTAGTTAGCTTTTGTATAATTCCATATTTTACCTATATATATATATATTTCTATCTACTTGCATTTAATATTCTTTGCCATTTGTGCCTGAAAATATTTTGCACGGTAGGTTGTGATACTTATCAACGTGATTAAGCAATCTAGTTGGTCGTGTTGATGTAGTTGAACGGGTTGCTGGCCTTGGCCATTTTCTGCATATTGGACTTCAAGCTTTCCGTCATGTCTGTCATTTTGCCTTCGATCATTTGCTTTGCAGCGGCGGGAGGGGCCTTTCGTTGCTGCAGGCCCAGCGCTTCCAGGAGCGCCAACTGTTCTTGCCGCTTCAGTCTACCAACCCCAGCCCCCCATCACTCCCTCGCCATATATATACAACTCTCATCATCATTCGTCCTATACCCTTTCATGTTCAAAATGCTCTGAAAGTTCTCGGCCGTGCCTTCCGGCCACATGATCTTGAAGCTGTCGACAAGCATTTCATTCGGCGTGCCAATCAACTTGAGCACGGCTTCGACGTGCGCCATTTCGTTGCTGACAAACTTGGTGTACCGCGCAGGTACCGTCGTCGCACCAACCTAAGCACTCCTCCGTCCACGATGATCGTTCGATTTCATGTGCTTTTGATACAGTATCGCGCACAATCTGTACCTCGCCTTCCTTGCCCATCACAGGGAGGTTCAGAAATAGCGTCTTGAGCGCATACACGTCCAAGAGGAGCTGCTGGGTGCCGACGTGGTTGACGCGCTTGCACTTGACGATGCTCTGGAGTACTTTGGGCACGACCGACGCCGCAAACTTGTCGCAGAAGTTGGTAAAGTACAGACTCGAGAGCATGCTGCGCAGCGTCGGGACGTACGGACGCAGCTTGTCGGCGATCGCCAGCACGTACGCGCTCTCGTCGCCCACCGTTTCGACGGTACCCCAGTTCACTCGTTGCATGGTGGCCCAGTCGTCGTCCAGGATGTTTTCGATGCCGAGCACGATGCACTTCATCGCCGCCGCGGCCACGTCGTGATACGTGTCGATCTCCTTCGACAGTTCAATCGCGTCGGTAAATGCCTTGTCGATCTTGAGTCGGATCACGTCTTCCAACGACGGCAACTAGCCAACCATCACACACAAAGACTGAGTTAAGATGGTTCCACCACTCACACACAACAACATAACACCCCATAGACTAGACACACATTTATATATATATATAGGTATATATATATATATGTATATATAGGTATACATATATATAGGTGTTTTTATTCTAAACTGGAGCGACATGGAGAATGAATGAATCGACACAACCAAATAAATGTACAGAAGAATCATCGACAGAAGGGTTTAGCCAATCCGATGGCAGGAAACCATGATCAACGTGAGAAATTAGTGTGTGATTTCAATTAGTGTGATTTCAATTAGTGTGATGTCAATCACCACTGGAGGACACGTTTTTACATACAAAATTCAATATTCAAAGAATCGATCGATGATAGATTTGGCGGCGATTCAGCACAAATGTTAGCCAAATGTTGGGTAAAGGACAATACCGTGTCGGCACAGTATTCCGCCGTGTTGATCACAAAGCAGAGCTCTTCCTCCTGTTTGTCCGCGAGCCGCCACTTGGCCGCCGCCGCGTGCGTCGGCGGCGTGTTGCTGTCGGTGATAAACCCCGGTAGCTTAGCCACCAATCGATTCGCGTACAACCCGAGGCAGTATTTGAACTCCAATTGCAAGTCAAAGAACGTCTGGCCCACCGTGAGCGCCGTGCACCGCTTCACACTGTTGCGGATGTACGCAAACATGTTGACTGACGATGAAAACACTGGCAGCGCGCCGTTGCGGTCAACGATCTCGGACGCCATCACATCGTTCACCATGGATTCCTGTCCACACAAATGGCATTTCTCTGGAATGTGCTATGTATAGATAGATACCATGTTCTTCCGCTCGAGGGCCACGTACGCCGTCATAAACGGATCGAAGGTTCGAGACAAGATGCCGCTGAGAGATGGCAGCGGGTCCTCGGGCTCGTGGACGACCCCCATTTCGCCCTCCATCATGCGCTTCTTGCTGAGTTCGTCGGCGATGGCCTTGTGCTCTGCCAGCCGCTTTTGCCGCAGCAGCCGGCGCTTGATGCCTTCCGCCGACGCCGGATCGATCACTTGCCCCTTGTCGTTGAGCTCGGATCGGCCGTCGTCCGGGCCGTGTCCCTGTGCGACGACACATATATATATATATATATATATATATATTCATGAAAAATCTACTGTTCAGTACCTCGTATCGCGTGACGATTTCCCGTTCAAACAGCAACGCCTTCTGCAACGCTTTGAGCAACGACGTCACGTCCAGCTCATCTGATGCGACTGCACCCAGGTGCCCCAGCAAGTGCGTGCGCGTGCGGTCGCAGAAGAACAGGCACAGCCGCCGCCCCATCTGCCAGTGCGTCGGAAAGATCGCCTCCATGCGCCCCTCGATGGTGCTCACGAGCTGGAAAAACCACGCGAAGCGGGCGTCCATGTCGGCAAGGGACGACGCCGCGCTCCCTCCAAACTGCTTTTCGTACGGCTGGTCCAATGTCATGTCAAACGTCGTCAAGATGCTGAGTCTTACCGCTAGTTGATCGACGCACCATGTGTGTACGAGCTTCTTCCTTGTGTCGTTGCCCAGCGCCGACACGATCAAGCAGGCCGTGGCCAAGTTGGCAAACATGCGTTGCATCTCGTCGTCGTCCTTGGCGATGGAATCGAGGGTCGCCAGCGGCCCCACGACTTGGAAATCCCCAAAGATTTGCTTCTCCAAGTCCGCACGGATCGCGTTGACCGTGCGCTGAAGGTCGAGGATCTTGCCCACCTTGGTGAACCCTTCAAAGTGGGTGAAGAGGCTGTTGACTGCTTCGAGGAGACTCGCAGCTTCCTTGTACAGACGTTGGGAAGTCATGTACTCCAACTGATCCACGGCCGTCACGAGCATGTGCAAGCGTTTGAGCGCTGTGATCGTCGTCTGCAAATGCCGCTTGGCGTAGTCGAGCTGTTTGATGTCGCGGCAGATCTCTTGTACCATGACCTCGGACTGCTCGGCCTTGCCCCGAATGTCGTGGATCTTCGTGTACAGTTGTGTCACTGCTTGCTGGGCTTCTTTCAAATCCGCCAACGCCTGGTATGCCGCCAGGGACTGCTCCTGTGACGCATGGGACAAATTCTCGTCCAGCTCCTTCATCCTGCCGTTCAAGCGACTCACGAACGGCTCGATGTCGGCAAGGGACTGCTCGTCAGGGAAGTTCCGGTTGATGAACTCCACGCAGTCGAACTCGGGTCGGTCCAATACGTCATCGGACGGCAGCACGCGCGAGATCGCGGCTTCGACACCCTGCGGCAAGTGCATTTTGCCGTCCAAATTTTCTCCCAATCTTTCAATTATTGTTTGTTTCCTCAAACTCAATCATCCGGATAATATAGAACCAAATCCTGAATTACCGGAACCACATGAATGATCGCCTCATCCAAGGCATTCTATATGATTGCATCTATCGATCCTCATACGCATATAGCAGTAGAAGCTACACCGTTGACCGTAATTACCCGGTAACTCCAAGTAGTTAGTTCGGATTGAGAATCAGTATGGATTCAGAATTTGTGCGGTCCTCACTAATATACATGTGTGAAATTTGTGGTTGGTATTAATAATTAGTGCGGGCAATTTCGTGCAATATTGGGTGTTTGGGGTGTATGCCACGATGCCCAATTGGTCTGGTATTCATATGTAGAAAGCCATCAAGTGGTACAATAATGACCCTTGTACATGATGTGTCGGCACTATTGACTGTTTACATCAATATTGCCGATTGTGATATATTTCGTGACAAATCCCACATACAAAAAATTCAAGATAATAATCCTTACTAATTCTCAATATTCCAAATTGGTGCGGTCCGCACTAATTCTCCACGTCCATAATTAAATGTAGTGCGGATTGATGTTAGATACTGCCCAAAATTTCATCAAAATTGGAGTAATATTGATGAAGTTACGAAAATTCGGGAGCCTTTTCGCCCAAACGTGGTCGCACTAATTACGGTCATCGGTGTAGCTACATACCTAACTCAAGTACGTAGTACTACGTAGTAATCTTTATATTTACTTTTCAGATTTCATTATAAACTATACAAAAATATCAATGTCAGCTTGGCCGAGTGGTTAAGGCGTTAGCCTGCTAAGTTAATGGGGCAACCCGCGTGAGTTCGAATCTCACAGCTGACGATTCTTTTTATCGGGGCTTTTTTTTTTGGATCTTGGCCGGTTTCTAGAAACGGCAAAAAAATGTTTTTCTTCGCTTGTCCCAGTCGTAGTATACTGGAGGGCAATATAAAAGTCGGGGGGGGCGAAAGCAGTGGCTGGGGTGTTCACGTGATGGCGATGTTTGATTGGCTAAAAAAGAAACGACGACACCTGATTGGTGGAAAAAGGAGAGGAGTAGGTGATCGCCAAGTGCCTACCAAGATGGGGCATTTCCCATTTTTACAACTACAGGAAGCATCATCATGTCGACGGAAGAAGAAAAGGTGGTTGTGCCCGCTGAAGAAGAAAACGACAACGAAGAAGGCGGCGTGGAAACCGGCGCCTCGGAAGAACCGCAAGCATACTTCGAGCCCGTGGTCAAGCTCAACGAAGTCGAAGTCGTGTCCGGCGAAGAAGACGAGGACGTGCTGTTCACGATCCGCGCCAAGTTGTTCGACTACAAGGAAACTCTGTTGAACAAGGGCACGGGTGCCAAGTCGTGGTGCGAACGTGGTGTCGGTAACGTGCGCTTCTTGAAGCACAAGGAAGCCGGCAAGGTCCGCCTCTTGATGCGCCAAGAAAAGACCTTGAAGATCCTGATCAACCACTTGGTCGAATCCCGCGCGACGTTGACCGCCAACATGGGCAGCGACCGTGCGTGGGTGTGGACGTGCTATGACTTTTCCGAAGGCGTTGTCGAACCCAAGACGTTTGCCCTTCGATTTGCCAATGCTGAAAACGCCCAAGCGTTCAAGGACGCGCACGAAGACGCGAAGAAGTCCAACAAGGCTTTGGAAGCTGGTGCCGATGCCGCGGACACGACTGCCGGTGACGAAGCCGCCAAGGCTTTGGAAGGATTGGCTGTGAAGAAGGATTAAGCAGTCTCATGTCAAACGGTGGCGACGAGTCGACGCAGCGAATGGATCTGTCCGTCTCCAGCCTGAACCCTAACCGGTCTAATTTTATATTTCAAAACCTTCTTGTCAATTGATAGTCTCCACAAACGTATAAACGAGGTCAGGCTCAAGTAGGGTACAGTCCAGTTGATAAGGTTAGCGCTTGATGCACAATCAATCCCAACCTCTCGCTCACACTCTCCTAGAATTGATCATGTGCTACGCCGTGGGGGTCGACATGGCATCCCCCCCTCGTTGAGGCGACGAAGCGGCTGCCGAGTGGTCCAGAAGCAAGCAGGCATCATGCAGCGCAACTTTGGATGTGGCGGTAGGGGAAGGTGCGCGCGTGTACACCGCAAGCCCCGCCAAGATGCAGACAAACCCGACGCAGTAGAGCCAGCTGAGGCTCTCATGGAAGAGGTAGATGCCCGCGAGGACACCGAAAAAGTCGGACGTGAGCAGCGACATGTTGAAGATGGCCGAGTCTCCGTCGCGAAGCATGATCTACGCCCCCAGTCAATTCAGAACACCAACAACAGCATTGGACCAACCGCTGTGACAGAATACATGAGGAAGAGCGCCGCCACGTAGAGCGCGAGAAAGGCGGCGCTTCCAGTAGACCTACATCATGATCAAGGTTAAGGATGTATGTGATGGAAGCAAGTGAGATGCCGTACCATGTGATGGCAACGAACGCATCGTGCTCGACGACATAGGCTTGGATGCCGCAGATGACAAAGCCATGGAGACCGAGGTTGCCGAGAAATTCGCTCTAATGTCGATATATATTGGAGGAATATGATATATATATATATATATATATATATATGCACGTACGCGGGACTTGGTTTTGACAAAGTACTCTTGCGCGACGTTGGAGACGCCATAGATGGTGGCGCCGAGCAACGAGAGCGCGTCGCCAACGAGGGCGGTGGTGTTGAAGCTGTCGGACGCGAACGACGAGTCCTTGTAGTTCATGATGTCGGACACGATAAGGAAGCAAATGCCAAAGAGACACAACCCCACGCCCGCGTAATGTTGTGTGGCGTACTACAAGGGAGGGGTGGATATGGGATGGGACGACGAGGACATGTACCTTGGCGTGGAGGAACGTGATGGAGAGGAACATGACCACGGGAAGGGTAAAGCAGTCCAGAAGCATGGCGCTGCTGATGGTCGTATACTTGTATGCCAACACGACGAGGAAGTTGGCTTCGACGTCCGCGAACGCGAGGAGCGTGTACTTCCACCACGGTGTCTAACGATCCTTGGTGAATACAAGTTGAACGAATCGACGGCTACGTACATCTGACGACCCATCTTCGCGCGTCCACCATCGATGAACGAGGTATCCCATCAGCAAGAAGTAGTTCCCGACAGACTGGGTGGTCGCCAAGTGTACCTAAATACCCCGGTGATGCTGAGGTTCCACTGCACAAGGCTAGGAGGTACGTACGTTGTAGTTTTGGGTAAGCACTTGAGTGCATATGCTTGTGATGGTGATGAAGAGCGAGATGACTTGGCCAAGGCACAACACGCGGTGTTGTTCCTGCATGCTGCCCTGTCTTGGTTGTCAGCAATGGATGCGATCTCTAACAACAAATGGATTTTCAACCCATTCGATTGTCTCGAACTTCGAATATCCGGATAACAGAAAAGTCAACTGAAAATGTGAGTAACTTGAGGTTTCTTTCGCTCGAACGACCTCCATTGCTGCTACCACACTTTAAACAGCGGCCTTGTGCTCGGACTATATGAAGGAGCTCTCACCCTATGAGTCCACTGGCCTTAGGATATGGTATGAGCAGTTGTCGACACCACAAAAGTCGAAACTCGAGACTACAGTTGATGAGAAATGTCGATTCTCAAATTGGCGAAAACACGACGAAATATCACAAAAAGTGGTCAATTGAGCTATTTTGACATGATTATCCGGATATTGCCTTCGATCTTCGTGTAGGCGGCGGACACGAATACACTTTGGAATTGATTTGGCCGAACGAAGAACGATGCAGCGCTTGGAGTGCGTCGTGCAGCAATATGCGTGGGGAAAGAAGGGAACCAGCAGTATCGTCGCCAATCTCAAGGTACAATACGGCTCCTTCCCCTGTGCCATTTACTGCCGAGTGCCTCATCCATACATACAACTAGGCGGCGTCGGACAAGACTTTCGTCGTCAATGACAAAGAGCCGTACGCGGAACTGTGGATGGGAACCCATCCAAACGGCCCTTCATCTATCGCAGACACGTCTCAATTGCTCTCGGAATGGATCAAGGTGCGACTGCTTCAAGCATTTCCCACTACTTTCCCCTCCCTCATACATGATGCCACTCCAGGAAAATCCATGGGCACTCGGCAACACGGCCAAGGATATCCCATACCTGTTCAAGGTTCTGTCTGTGAACCAAGCGCTGTCGATCCAGGCGCATCCTGACAAATCTGCTGCGAAGCGACTGCACAAGGACTTTCCCCATATTTACAAAGACGACAACCACAAGCCGGAAATGGCGATTGCACTGACCCACTTTGAAGCACTGTACGCGTCTTGAACTTTCGCTGCATCGCGATTGACTGAAGTGTTTGTGTGCTGTAGTTGCCAGTTTCGACCTATGGACCAAATCATCAACCACATCACTCACGTGGAGGAATTCCGACTCTTGGTGGATTCGTCCGTGGCCATGGCGCTCGTCGACTTCAAAGACCTGCCGTCCCTGCGTGCCTTCTTCCGCGCGATGATTTATTGCGACCCCGACAAAGCCACGTCCGCCCTCGAGAGCCTTCGCAGCCGGCTCGGCGCGCAGCGCGAAAGCCTCTCGGCCCTCGACGCTCTCGTGCTGCGACTCAACGAGCAGTACCCCAACGACATTGGCGCGTTCTCGCCGTATCTGTTGAACTACGTCGTGCTCGAGCCGGGGGACGCGGTCTTTTTAGGTGCCAACGAACCCCACGCGTACCTTTCAGGTGAGATCCACTGGATTGTGGATGCAATTAGGGTCAGATTATGAAAGACTAACGTAGGCGAATGTGTGGAATGCATGGCCGGGTCGGACAACGTGGTGCGTGCAGGCCTGACTCCCAAGTTCATTGACAAGGCCACGCTCGTGGACATGCTCACGTACACGGTCGGGTCGCCGCCCGTGCAGCGCGGAAAGCAAGTCGACGCGCATCTGACACAATACAGCTCGCCAGTGCCGGAGTTCCAAGTCCAGCGAATGAACTTGCCGCCATCCACGACGTACGATTTGGCGGTCGCCACAGGGCCTTCCATCCTGCTTGTCTTGGAAGGCCAAGGCACTGCCAACGTACACGGCGCCACGACACATGACGTAGGCACAGGCCAAGTGTTCTTTGTACCGGCAGGCCATGCCATCACATTCAAGAGCAGGCAGGATGAAAGACTAGTTGTCTACCGGTCGTCGCCCAACGAAAACGTTCAGGAATAGTGTCACCAGCGTAACTTTATGTACAGTACATATGTGCATACTGTATCACCACATCGTTAATGATGTCGATTACCATCGTACTGTACTGTAACTTTGCTGCTCGAAAGTGACGTTAATTACTGTGAATATATATATATATATACTTCGAAGTATACTGTATACCATGGGACTATCCGTACACAACCGCGATTATCCGGATGTGCCTGCTGGTTGGCATCAAGTGATCATGACCTCGAAGGGTAAGAAAGGCAAGAAAGGTGGTGCCAAGCAGCAGTCGGACGAGCCTCTGCCACTGCACCCTTTGAGACTGGAAGTGGGTCGTCTGCACCATGGCACTGCTGATCCCCGCGCAGCCCAAGTCATTTCACGCATCAACATGCGCGTCCAGGACATGAAGCCACGAGGGTTGAGCTCTGGTGACCTTGTAGTTGTATCCGCCGAGACTGTTCCACCAACTCCTGTCATGTGTGGCACTGTGTGGCCTTCCGACAAGACGAAACCAGGTATGGTGGTCCTGGGCTCAGTCTGGAAAGAAGTGGCTGAAAGAGCGCAGTCCCAGTCGGTGACGGTGTCGACGCTGTCGTCTGCCGCCTTGACGCGTGCAGTCGCCAGCAATGTGACATTGCAGTCACTGGCAACAGTCCCCATATCCGAAAAGGAGCAGTCGCTCTTGGGACAGTACGTTGCATGCATGATGAATGGCATGTACGTGCTGGACCAGGCCATCCTCGTGCTACCCGTGCACGGCGTGAGTCGCCGATTTCAAGTGACCCAGTGCTCCACCAAATCCAACGCCACGGCTTCCTCGCCCTTCGCCATCTACTCTGTCGAGTCATTCACATCCATTCAAGTGCAATGGACACCTTCGTCTCCAACAGTGGCCACCACCGCGCGCCAATCGACGCCCGCGTTTCACGCTATTGGCGGGTTGCAAACTCAAATTGAAGCAGTTCGACAGCTCATCGAACAACCTTTGATCAACCCGTCGTTGTTTGCATCCTTTGGCCTGCCTCCACCCAAAGGCGTACTGCTTTATGGCCCCCCAGGCACTGGCAAAACGCTCATCGCACGCGCAGTGGCGGCCGCCGCCCGCGCCGCGGTCTTCACCATCAACGGACCTGAGCTTCTGAGTAAATTCGTGGGCGAAAGCGAGGCCAACGTACGTACTACACATATTAAGCGTTCTGTCGATTGGCCGGCAATGTCCATGTAGATTCGCGCCGTGTTCGCCGCTGCCGCCGCCCAAAGCCCGGCCCTGGTCTTCATCGACGAAATCGACTCGCTGTGTCCGAAACGAGACAGTCATGTCGGGGACATGGAAAAACGGGTGGTCGCCACGCTCCTGACGTGCATGGACGGCTTGAACGCCTCCGCCGGTTCGTCCTTGAAGTACATGACATGGCACGTTCTAAGCGAGGCATAGGCGTGGTCGTGCTGGCCGCAACCAACCGACCGAATGCGCTGGATCCGGCGCTGCGCCGCCCGGGCCGGCTGGACCGGGAGATTGAGATCCCAATCCCCAGCGCCCAAGATCGCCTCGCGATTCTCAAGGTCACGCTGGCCAAGATTCCGCACGCTTTGGCGCCGAGTCTTATGGACACCATCGCGAGCCAATTGCACGGATACGTCGGGGCCGACATCAGTGCGCTGTGCAAAGAAGCAGCGCTTCTCGCCCTCCAACGGAATCGACACGAAGTGAGAGACCCGTCAATCCATACTGTATATCCCCCTCGCGTGGTGGTCAAGGGAGAATGCGTCCATGTAGATGCAAGTGACGGAAGCTGACGTGAAAGCAGCGACGAAACTCGTGTCCCCGAGCGCACTTCGTGAGATCTCGCTTGACATTCCCCGCGTGCTGTGGAGTGAAATTGGAGGCCAGGGGCTGATCAAGCAGCAGCTCAAGGAAGCCGTGGAGTGGCCGCTCAAGCACCCCGACGCGTTTGTGCGCATGGGCATTCGTCCCCCCAAGGGCATTCTGCTGTACGGCCCGCCCGGATGCTCCAAGACTCTGACGGCCAAAGCACTGGCCACGGAGGGCGGCATGAACTTCATTGCCATCAAGGGCCCTGAGCTGTACTCGAAATGGGTCGGCGAGTCGGAAAAGGCGATCCAGTCCATCTTCCGCAAAGCCAAAGCAGCTGCACCGAGCGTCGTGTTCTTCGACGAGATTGACGCCGTCGCGAGTTCGCGGGGCAGCGGGAGTTCGGGGGTGCGTGTTCCCCGATTTAGTATTAATCTATCATGCTCGTGACAGCAAGTGCTGGTGTTTTTTATAGTTATTTCATTCGTCTATAGGTTGCAGACCGAGTGCTGAGCCAACTGTTAAACGAACTCGACGGCATCGAGCCATTGAAACAAGTGATTTTAGTCGCCGCGACCAATCGCCCGGACCTCATCGACAGTGCCCTCATGCGTCCTGGTCGGATAGATCGCGTGTTGTACGTGGGACCTCCGGATCAAGTGGCTCGCGCCGAGATCCTGCGCATCCACACGCGGAAGATGCCTCTCGCATCGGATGTGTCGATGGAAGAGCTGGCGCAAAAGACACCGAGGTATTCCGGCGCAGAATTGGCGTCGCTTTGCCGAGAAGCGGCGCTCTGTGCCATGCAAGAAGATGTCCAAGCGCTGAACATTGCAAAGCGACACTTTGACCTGGCGCTGGCTCAGATCGTGCCTCAAATTAACGACGCAATGCTCGGGTTTTTCGATGCGTACCGGGAATCCCATGCCGGAGCGTGAAGGACATTATTCTAACGTTAGCACGAAATCAACTTACTTCTTGCCATGTTGGCGTTATATTGACCACCCAAATGAAAAGCCAAAGATTTGGTGGTGTCCAGGGAATAGCTTCTTGGCTCGCAGCACGCAATTGCGCTTTGCACGGCTATTGACGAATCACGGCTTGACCAGCCACGTTTCCAAGTTGAAGTGGAAAGCGCGATCCTTGGGGATGTTTGATTGGCTGGATAATTCACCAATCATAGGTCACAAATCGCTCAAGATCGTCCAACAGCCAATCCAATCGCTTCGTTGCATGACCCAGCACATTCCCAACTGTCCGTGCCTGAGGCTCAATTCCATTTCATCCCAGTGTTGGGCAATTGATTGTGTTTTTGTATACTTTTGAGATACACTTGATTGAGCGACATGTCAACCCTCAATACTGCGTGCAACTTCGTCATTTGCCTTACAAGCAAGCTCCATCCTCACTTTTCAATTTGCTCCGTTCGACATGGCCATTGCTTTGGATATTGACACTGGTTCGCTCGGGTTCCCCCGCATGGGCCCCAACCGTGAGCTCAAGTTTGCCCTGGAAAAGTTCTGGCGAGGCGCCGTGGACGAAGCGCAGCTCCGTTCCGTGGCCGAAAAGGTCGAGACCCAAAACTGGACCACTCAGCAAGCGCGTGGCATCGACCGCGTCGCCGTGGGCATGTTCTCGTTCTACGACCACGTGCTGGACTGGACGTCTTACTTGGGCACGGAGCCCCAGCGCTTCCAAAAGATCAACAACGGGTTGGACCGGTACTTCGCCATGGCTCGCGGCGTCGATGGCATCCCTGCGTTGGACATGACCAAGTGGTTCGACTCCAACTACCACTACGAAGTCCCCGAGTTGAACGTGCACACGTCGCCCAAGGCCAACTTTGGCGCGTTCCTCGCCACGGTCAAGCGCGCGCAAGGCGTGTTGGGTGTCGACAAGGCTGTACCGGTGATTCTCGGCCCCCTCACCTACCTCGCGTTGGCCAAGTACGACCAAACGACCACGCTCGCCCAAGTGTTGGTCAAGATCTTGCCGCTCTACACGCAGTTGTTGGCTGAATTGGCCGCATTGGGCGTGAAGGAAGTGCAAGTACACGAACCTTCTCTCGTCGGCGCGCACGCCCATGCGTTGTTGCCGCACTTGGTGTCTGTCTACGGCTCCAAGGATGCCTCGGGTGCACTGACCCACGACACTGTGTCTCTGCACTTGGTCACGTACTTTGAAGCGATCGACGAAGACGTGTACAAGTGGTTCATCGACTCGAAGATTGCCGCGTTGTCGTTGGACTTCACCCGTGGCGATAACTTGAGCGTGTTGGAAAAGTATGGTTTTCCGTCTGGCAAGCGGTTGGGTGCTGGGGTTGTGGACGGCCGCGGCATTTGGAAGATCTCGCCGGCGTTGATCCCGGTGATCAAGTCGATTGTGGCCGTCGTATCTAAGAACTCGAACGCGGCGCTCACGATCCAGCCCAGCTCGTCGCTCCAACACGTGCCGTACACGACCAAGGCTGAAGTAAACTTCCAAAAGGACCTCTCGGCCCTCTTTGGCGTGCTTAGCTACGCCTTTGAAAAGCTGGACGAAGTGGCGTTGATTGCCAAGGCCGTCCAGACCAACACGTTGGATGCGGCGTTCGAGTCCGTTGCTTCGGCGTGGGCCACCTACTACAAGGAGAACCCTGCCAAGGCGACTGTCCAATCCCGTGTGGCCAACGTGACCGAGGCCGACTTGAAGCGCCCGTCCGAGTTTGCCGTGCGCCGCCCCCTCCAAATGACCACATGCCCCCTCTTGCCCACGACCACGATCGGGTCGTTCCCCCAAACCCCCCAGATCCGCGCCCTTCGCTCGCAACTCAAGACGGGCAAGATCACCCAAGCGTACTACGAAGCGCAAATCGATGCCCAAATCGCCTACAACGTTGGCGTTCAAGACGCCCTTGGCCTCGATATTCTCGTGCACGGCGAACCCGAACGCACCGACATGGTCGAGTTCTTTGCCGAAAAGCTGAACGGATTTGCGTTCTCCCAGAACGGATGGGTGCAGTCGTACGGTTCCCGCTGCGTGCGCCCCCCGGTGATCTACGCCGACTTGGAGCGCCCCGTGGACATGACTGTGCGCGAGTTCTTGGTCGCTCAAGGGTTCTCTGTCAACAAGCCCGTCAAGGGCATGTTGACAGGCCCCGTTACCATCTTGAACTGGTCGTTCCCTCGTTTGGATATTTCGCGCAAGGATCAGGCCTACCAGTTGGCGCTATGCTTACGCGACGAAGTGGCTGCATTGGAAGCAGCTGGTTGCTCCATTATCCAAGTGGATGAGCCGGCGCTGCGTGAAGGCATGCCGTTGAAGCCGTCCAAGAAGGACGCGTACCTTCGCTGGGCCGTGGACGCATTCCGCCTGTCGACGGCGGTGGCGGCCAATCCCACGTCCATTCACACGCACATGTGCTACTGCGAGTTCAATGACTGCATGCCCAGCATCGACGAGATCGACGCGGACGTGAACTCAATTGAAAACGCGCGCTCGGGTGACGAAACCATCCGTGCGTTCAAGTCCATCGGGTACAAGAAGGACTTGGGGCCGGGTGTGTACGACATCCACTCCCCCGTCGTGCCCCCCAAGCAAGAAATCGTCGACAAGTTGCACAGCTTCCTCGCGTTGCTTCCTGCGACCCAGCTGGTCGTGAACCCCGATTGCGGCCTCAAGACCCGCCGCTGGCCGGAAACGATCGCCGCCTTGAAGAACATGGTCGAAGCCACGGCTGAAGTGCGCGCCGCCTTGCAGTAAGCGCATGGTAGTTTGGTCCTTGTCGATCCATCGAGCGGTCCGCAAGACAATGCCGCCAACCTCTGCGATGCCATGCACAACCAACCTAGTTAGTTGTACATGATTTGTCCCTTTGCTTGGTGCAGACTACAACATAATGTCATTACACTTACATTTTTTGTCATTTTGGGGTTATGTTGGCAGCGTATGCAAATGGAGACTTCTAAAAAAGAGCACTACTTGTAGTACACTGTGCAGTGTACAGTACAGTAGTTTCCCACAGCAGTAAGCTGCAAGGTGCATCTTCGATTACTACGTATTAATAGTACTTCGAAGTACTATTAATGCAGCAGTAGCCAATAGTTGTACACTAATATTGGTCCAAAATAGCTGTCATATTAGACGTAGAGATATTGAGGGGTTTACGAAATGTCTACGAAACCCTTATAATCTTATCTTTCGCTTGCAGCGATAAAAGTATTTGTATTTGCCACACATTTTGAGGGCATATTTTGGTCGTCCATCGGGTCTGGTTTGTGCTGATAATGTACCCTTATCCGAATGACCGGATGGAGTAAATCGGAGTACAGTAGTTGGTAGTATCCAAATAATGGATAGGATGACTTGTAGCGTAGATGGAAACAAAACAGAACCAGTGACGATGGATGACCACGCCTCCACATGACTTGAAGCGTAAATCAAAGCGATGGAGAGGGTAGTGTTGCATGTACTCGCCTGCTACCCTTCACACAGAACACCTTTACAGTAAGACGTTAGCCTGAGCACTTGACAAGCGTATTCGTCGCTTCACGGCACCACTTGTAGCAATGGCAAGCTGACGTAGTGTGTTTGTATGATGTAGCTAAATACTTGATTTTGTTGCTTCTGTACCGATGAGCCCATTGCGCTGTCGATGTGGCAGCAACAGCGATGGTTGTGTTGGCAACGAAATAAGTGCAGTGACGTTATATTGCGAGGCAGGCGCCGCCAAGTGAAATTCGCATACCATAACATACGCTGGTATATGTGGACAACGCGGCCTTGCCCGTGAAACACTTGGTCGCCGCCCTCAAGCCCATCATCTAGACACATACAAAACCTATCGTCACGTCAATTGTTACGGGAGTAACACTGTTACCCACAAGGAGGCATGAATGAAGTGTGTGGGACCGCGGTTGTATGATCCGATGCAGATGGAGGCTGTCAGTCTTGAGCTTATTATGCACCCGATACACTTTTATATACGCCCGAACCACATCCGTAAGTCGCTCAAGGGGAGGCCTGGTTGTAGGCCTCTCCTCAAGTTACCTATAGATAAGCACTCAGTAGTGTTGTCTACCGGTAGCTACATGTGTATGGTGTAGTTAACCATAATTCGAATCTGTCAGAATTTAGTGGCGGCATGAAAGGATGACGTAGCTAGCTTATAGTATATGCATTTGATTGTCGTCATATTTGAACCAGAGGCCTAACGTTAAATGTATTTCGAAGTATATATTAGCGATCAAAAGGTATTAGACCGGGTGTGCCTCCCTCTGGGGTATGTAGACAACTTCCCAGGGGGATGCTATGCTGTTGAATTATTATGGCGGAGGGTCTCTGGATGTTGAAAACAATGTAGGCGTTGCACGTCGACAAGCATCCCATGATAGGCTCCGTATGACCAGTCGTAATGTCGTGAATGGTGGCTGTGGCCACTTCTTTTCATGCGGATTTCGCCACTATGTTCAAATGTGCACTATCTTGCATATCTTGTTTTTGAGCCCACATTCTATCAACTTATATTCACAC